TGCCTACCATGCTGTCACCCCCACACACACACCACCACCACCTGCCTACCATGCTGTCACCCCCACACACACCACCACCTGTCTACCATGCTGTCACCCCCACACAACACCACCACCTGCCTACCATGCTGTCACCCCCACACAACACCTGCCTACCATGCTGTCACCCCCACACAACACCACCACCTGCCTACCATGCTGTCACCCCCACACAACACCACCTGCCTACCATGCTGTCACCCCCCCACACAACACCATCTGCCTACCATGCTGTCACCCCCACACAACACCACCTGCCTACCATGCTGTCACCCCCACACACCACCACCTGCCTACCATGCTGTCACCCCCACACAACACCACCTGCCTACCATGCTGTCACCCCCACACAACACCACCTGCCTACCATGCTGTCACCCACACACACCACCACCTGCCTACCATGCTGTCACCCTCACACACAACACCACCTGCCTACCATGCTGTCACCCCCACACAACACCACCTGCCTACTATGTAGTTAGCCTTGTCTCATGATTGCTCCCCCTCCCCTGAACACGTGATGTCTCCTTCCTGATTCTACTTCGAATCATCAAGTTCAAGCCTACCTAGTCTAGCTAGGTAACCCAGTCTAATATACTATGCCTAAGAACCCTTAGTATTATTCGACTAGCAGTCTAACTTAAGTTTTTTCCCTCTGTCAACCTGTCAAGGGATCACAACCCTTGACAGGTTGTGATCTTTTCCTACTTTGACCCAACAGATGGTTCAATTCAGCTTCCAAACTCCCATAGGTATATCCAATATATGTGCTCAAATATTTATATATTTAAGATTATCTTTCTAGATTTTCCCATTAATTTTAATTAGGCTTCTGACTCCTACATTCAAACTTTGTTTTGTCTCCATTAACCAACAGTCCCACACGGTGACAGATCTCATAATATGTCCAACACAGTTTGAATATTTAAAATATCGTGACCTTGAAACAAATCACCACCTGCACAAATGATTGGAGTTATCCTATTAATTTTTCGGATGCTATCCTATTCAGTAATATAATAATAGGATGGGACTTAACACTCCTCTTTGAGGTGTGTCGAATTCAACATATCTTACACTGACATATAACCTTGATAACATATGCAGGCGATGAGTCACAATAACGTGGCTGAAGTATGTTGACCAGATAACATATTTGAGCCTTTCTTTCACGAAGCTAATCACCTATCCAGTGTAACAATCCCCCAAACCAGCTAGTTCAGACAAGATGACATCGTCGGCCTTATCAAAGACTCCTTGTAAATGCCAACCTTGCCACTGCGACCATTGCACAAGGTAAAGCATAACGTTTAACTTCCACTAGAAACTATCTTCTCTCTCTTTAACCATTACTTGAGCCTCTAACCGAGGCATACATTGCCTATAATCTGAACCCCCAATGAAGTAGCTCTTGCCCATCAACCACCTAATCAGTACCAATAAAGGCAACCTGTCTATCACCCAAGCCCTGGTTGATACCTGGTTGATGGGGTTCTGGGAGTTGTTCTACTCCCAAAGCCCGGCCCGAGGCCAGGCTTGACTTGTGAGAGTTTGGTCCACTAGGCTGTTGTTCTCTAACACAAGCAAGTCCTTAGACACTACTCCAGCAGCATCCCTACAGACGCAGCCTTTATTCATCAGCCCCCAAAGGCAGTCCCTACCTTTCATACCACACTTCAGCTTAAACAGACAACCTTTAGCTATCATGCCATGATGAAGAGTGAGGGCGTTCAGGTCACCATGTGGCCTGCTCTAAAGCCGAGCCACGAGCCCTCTTCACTGGCCTGATACACCGTCAAGCACCAGCGGCAGGCAGGTACGAAGGGGAGGACTCACGGTAGGGACAGTGGATGCGAGAAAGTATTTTAATTAGATTTTTGTTAGCTGGAAGGGTATGAATGTGGGAGGGGAGGGGGAAAGGAAAGTGGGTCCTGGAGTGTACTTGTTGATGTGAGAACGAAGGGAAGTATTGCGAAAGATCATACACGTGAGCACGAAGCGAGGAAGGTTGCGAGGAGAAACACACAAGAAAGAAAGTAGCTCAAGCTGGCACTTGTTTTGAATGAGAGTCGAGAGGAATTTTAGTATTTGCACAAGAGAGCCTTCACTATGAACAAACAAAGGAAGGAGCCAAGGGGGGACGAGGGCCGGTCCTGGGGGCGGGGAGGGGTGACGAGGGCCGGTCCTGGGGGCGGGGAGGGGTGACGGGGCCCGGCCCTGGGGGCGGGGTGACGGGGGCCGGCCCTGGGGGCGGGGTGACGGGGGCCGGCCCTGGGGGCGGGGTGACGGGGGCCGGGGAGGGGTGATGGGGGCCGGCCCTGGTGACGGGGTGACGAGGGCCGGCCCTGGGAGGAGTGGCGGGATGTCGTCTCCGTCTTGGAACGAGATAAATAACTTGGTTCATTAGAATATACAACAGAACTATTATTAGAAAAATGGTGCAAATTTTCCTATATCGTTTTACCCGTTTCTCTCCACCTCTACCTTGAGGTGTATATATATGCCTGTCGTACCCTTCTAACACATCAAGCCCCGCTCCTGTGCCAGGTAAGTCCACTACGGGCTCACCATAGCCCGTGCTACTTGGAACTTGTTCCGAGTAGCTGAATCTATAACAACAACAACCTTCTAACAGCCTTCTCCGAATAGACAGTACGTTTTAATACTAAGTGCAATAAGTACAATCCTGACTACAGGCTTAGTACATAAATACACTTACTTTTCAGAATCGCACCAAAATATTGTAAATATTAGTTTACCTGAAAAGCTGATTAAAAACCACGACCCAACCTAACCTCCTTAGTGTATGAGGACAAGCATTTTATTCCTTCTTAATTACAATTAGTACTTAACCTATAGCTATATTGATATTACAGTTTTATAAAACTAATTAAACAAAACAAATCTTTCAATAAATTATAAAGTAACTCAGGATATTTTCAAATTTTGTATAAAATTTCTATTGTTTAATAAAACTGAAAAAGAAATTCGTTATATTTAAAACTTGTGTATATAGAATTGAACATGAAAACATCCTAAAATTTTGAGTGTCTTAAACTCCCAAAAGAAAACGAGAATATATGAGGAGGTAAATGTAACAGCCCCATAAGTGTAATTATGTACTATGCAGGACAGTCAGGAAATGTACTAATTTCATTTAGTATTAAAACGTACTGTCTATTCGGAGGATGTGTTGCTTCTAAAGTTTAAATACAAGTTCCTCCGTGTTCTTTCTTCACAAAACCACCCAGCTTAATAAAGCTGCGTGTTGCTGGCGACCACAGCTCGCTTGTCCAAAACCGGAGAAGAGTAAACTTCAAAACTTCAAACTGGAAAAGCCCTGCTTTATCGCAGCGCTGTAAGGACAAACCACACACTGTCTTATCAGCTAAAACCCAACGAATAGAGGATAGAGAGATGTTACTAAACAAGTGGGTTGGGAGCGCGCGTAGCCGGTGTAAACTGGGAGGGGAAGCGGGAAAGATTTAGCAGGTAAGGGGGCGTTAACTTTACTCCAGATGGCCGATTCTATTACCTGGACCTGAGCCTCGCCCCTTGCCCTAAGCTAAAAGGGTTCCTAAACCCTTGGATTTCACCATGAGTGCTATTTTTAATTCGTGTTTAAACCCTTATCAGCTACCTCTCACCAGGTAGTAGGGTCAGCTACTTTTCGGTTGTTTCATCACGTGCATACTGAAGACGACTTCTCACTTATAAGTAGGCTTCGAGCTTTCTCTCGCATCACTCATCTTCAGTCTTACTCTACTAGTTTGTCCTGGAACACAAGACTATGCAAGAACAAGACACAAGAACTACTATGCAAGCTGTACTCAAAACCCTGTCGAGGACCACCGACTAGGCTACGTTCCAGTATGAAGCTGTGCACAGTATTAGGACCCTATGGCCTCGACGTAATCTGATAACTTTCATTTACGTCATAACAGGTGACAAGAAGATTCTCTAAAGTGGGGACAGTATCCATCTACATTGCCCAATCACATGTATTATGCAGTGTTGCAAGGGTATGTCTAATTGCAAGTGGATGGTCGCCTTGCGGCAGATCGAGACGTCCAGTCATTTTTGGATTATGGGATAGAAGGGAGAATAGTGATTATTGTTTACACCACATTCTGAGAACAAATCTAAATCACTCTGGTTAACTTTGACCAATATTTGTCTTAATTGGTTATGCTTATTAAACAAGTGATAACCTTCGTTTTTTTACAACAATTAAAATTGGGTAAGAGGAAAAAGAAAGAGTGAGTGAGTGTGAGTGTGGGGGGGGGGGAGCCAGAGGTGAACAATGCGATGCGTCAGTATGGCGGAGGTGTTACATTACCCACCACATAATCCCGCGCGGCCAATACGTAACCTAGCCAGAGCACTTCCTGTTCGGCGACAGGCGGAAGGCAACCAGGAAACGCCTACACTTAATAGTCCGTAACTTGCTGAGTAAAACAACTAACCAGGCAGCCATCTATTGCTCCAATGGTGGTGGATCGTGTTATGAATGACAGGGTAGAAATCTTAGTTAGATATTCCCTTCTAGGAGACACAACAGGCATGAACGGCTTGTTGAGCGCACGCACGCACGCACGCACGCGCACGCACACGCGCGCGCGCGCGCGCGCGCACACACACACACACACACACACACACACACACACACACACACACACACACACACACACACACACACGCACGCACGCACACGCACACAACCATTCACGCGCTTTCCCAAACACATCACAACTACATACACCCCCGTACAACACCTTAAACATATACCCTACCCGACATGTCTTCAATGGACACTATACGCTTCCTCCCGCGGACACCAACACCACACACGTTCTTCCGTCAGCGACCCTGGGACGGCTCAGACACTGTCCACGACAGGGACGCGTGCAGCCTTGTAAAGCACAAGACTTCCGCGAGCATAGCTTAAAGGTCGTGCCCTAAGAGGAAACGGAGAGGGATGACACAGCAGCTTCATAGTCCTCCCAGAGGCAACACAGGTTACTGTAAGCTGTAATACCAACTGCCACAGTAGCAGCAGTAATAAGAACTCCCACAGTAGCAGCAGTAACAGGAACTGCCACAGTAGGAGCAGTCATAGGAACTGCCACAGTAGGAGCAGCAACAGGAACTGCCACAGTAGGAGCAGCAACAGGAACTGCCACAGTAGGAGCAGTAACAGGCACTGCCACAGTAGGAGCAGTAACAGGCACTGCCACAGTAGGAGCAGTAACAGGAACTGCCACAGTAGAAGCAGTAACAGGAACTGCCACAGTAGGAGCAGCAACAGGAACTGCCACAGTAGGAGCAGTAACAGGAACTGCCACAGTAGGAGCAGTAACAGGAACTGCCACAGTAGGAGCAGTAACAGGAACTGTCACAGTAGGAGCAGTAACAGGAACTGCCACAGTAGGAGCAGTAACAGGAACTGCCACAGTAGGAGCAGTAACAGGAACTGCCACAGTAGGAGCAGTAACAGGAACTGCCACAGTAGGAGCAGTAACAGGAACTGCCACAGTAGGAGCAGTAACAGGAACTGCCACAGTAGGAGCAGTAACAGGAACTGCCACAGTAGGAGCAGTAACAGGAACTGCCACAGTAGGAGCAGTAACAGGAACTGCCACAGTAGCAGCAGTAACAGGAACTGCCACAGTAGGAGCAGTAACAGGAACTGCCACAGTAGCAGCAGTAACAGGAACTGCCACAGTAGGAGCAATAATAGCAGCAGCAGTAATAATTACCTGGCGATATAACCAGAGATAGTAGCAATAACATCAGGCCAAATAATAAAACTGTAACGGTACTAGGAGAATAATCAAAGCAGGAGATGCAGTAGTTGCAACAATACAGGCAGGAACAACAGTGACAGTAGGTGTAGTAGTAGTAATAATAGAGGATGAGGAAGATAGGAGTAGTGGCATTCAGCGTGCTTGATAGAAAAGGTCAGACTGGCCATCTGGGTTCTGGCGGTCATGTGTTATTCACACGCTCCCCCCTCTACCTCCTCCAGCACGCTACACTACGTGTGGTGCCTCCCCTTCACTGTCAGCAACTGGAGACGCAAGTTACAGCTGTTGTTTCAGATTTAGCTACTCAGAACGAGGTGTTCGTGTAGCACGGACTATGGTGAGCCCGTAAACACAAGTTACAGGGGAATGGGAAAGACGGGGGGGGGGGGGGTAGTATACTTTACCTTTATCACCATTACCACCAGAAGGTACCAATACATTTACCACTATATACCACTTTAGTGCATCTTCGCTATATATCATAGCCCTTCTATCAGATTACAAATATAATGTCTAGCTTAGACCTAAACATTTTGCACATATATGGAATTCGTTCTCCTCTGAGAAATTAAAGAAAATACCAATACTATCAATATTCGAGTCATGCGATTTCTGAGCATTAATATTCTAAACGGAAAAAAACAAAATAGATAACCTCCATGGCCTAGAACATGTATGTATGTCATTCCCTCCTGTCCGAGCGTAATTAGGGACAAACTCTGTTATTTAAGACGAAAAACAGTGTTGCAACTGGCAATGTGGAGACGCCGGAGGACATGACAGCATCATCATCATCATATTCCTTCACACAGAAGGACACGACGCCCAGGGAGAAGAAACTTTACACTTTGGATAAGTAGATTAAAGTGGGAGGGACAAATAGGGAAGGAGAGGAGGATGAGGAGAGGAAGACAGGGTGGGAGAACTGGCAAGGGAATGCAAGACCGAAAGGAAATTATGAGCAGTAAAGTGCCAAGCCAGTATGTCTAGACAGCACATAGAAGGGATACGGCGGGCAGGGTGCGAGTTGGGAACGGACAAAGTGAAGGCACGGTGCCAAACCTCTTGGACCATCGGGGATCGAACACCAACCATGCAAGTAGCAAGATCGTTATGGTACCAACCAGTCCAAGTGGATTTTTTTTGTTGCAAGAATATTCCTACGCGGACTTTAAGGGGGCATCAGCCCAAAAACATGCAATAAATGAAAATTAGGTCGACTCTAATCAAACTTTTTTGACGGGTTGTATATGTAAAGGGTTTCATCAGGTCCGAGTCTCAGCATCGTAGCATAAATAGGAAGGGAGAAAAAAATATTGAATGTGGTCAAAAATTAACATCAAACACAAGTACCAACTGTAATCATGTCTATGACTCTCAGCTATCACAATAGCATATAATAAAAAAATTAATTAGTTTTATCCCCCCCCCCCAAAAAAAAATGTTATAAAAAATGATTTTTTTTATTTTTTGTTTTCTTATTTGTTTATCGGACGATTTGCACGAAACTTATACACCTGACTGCACGCAAGCCTAACTGTAAGGGTGCCAAGGGTGCCAGGAAATTGGTTGATGTCAACCTCAGCCACAGATGACAGCACCTTAGACTTTATTTTTTACTTATTTTTTCAAGTAACATAAACGTTCCTATAACTATTTTTTTATTATTCAATTTACATGAAACTTACACTTTACAAGTAGAGTTTATGGCTCTACATATCTGTAAAAATATTTTTTTCCTAAATTCATTTATTGATTTTATAATAATAAACCATGATATATTTGCATAATTTTTTATGGAACTGACTATTTGTATTAGCAAAACTAAACATATTTTTAAAAAATCAGCTTTATAGATTCTTTTATTATATGCTAATGTGATACAAAAGTGTCATAGAAATGATTTAATTTGAAACTTGTGATTGTAGTTTCGGTTTGAAAATGTGTAAAATTCGTTGAAAAAATTAAAAAAAATCTCCCTTTCTATTTAGGCTGCAATACCGAAACTTTGAACAATTGCAGCCCTTATCATATACAACTAGTCAAAAAAATTGGTTGACATTGAACTTATAAGAAACGCAGTTATGGCCCCTTAAACCTCAGACTGGCCCGCTAACCATGAACTCGCCTAGTTGTGCTTGCGGGGATGAAGGGGAGGAAAGGAAGGGGACCGGGCCGCGGGGACACTAAAGCCCCGAAATCATCTCAAGATAATCTCAAGGAAGAGGAAATTAGGGAAGGATAAGGTCCCCCCCCCCCTAGGTAGGGGAAGCAGAGGCTATGGTTATGGGTGCGGTGCGAGTCAAACCATCCTACTAAAATGTAAATACCTATAACGACTGTTGATATGAACAAAATTTGGACTCTTGCACTTAAATGAGGGAAAAAAATGGTTTTGTACTACTGATTTTGATGGACCCCCCCCCCCCAAAAAAAAACAGCAACAATCAAACCTAACTTTTCCAAGCCCGATTATAAGCCTTTTATGTACTAAATTAGGCCTAGAATTCCTTATATAAACTTAGTACAGATAAGGTTAACGGTTAAGCTGTTGCAGTTTTGTTATGGCATTTAGTATACCAACAACAGAACAAAACTGATTTTGTAAACAATTCATAGAAGCTATATGTACTATCTTTTTGGAGGATGGGTTTGAGTGAGGTGATGGTTCAGGCGAAGTGCACGTTCCCATCAAGAAGAAGAGGTGATGGAGTGATGGTGGAGGGGAGGTGGGAGGGAGCAGGTCAGCATTGTGTGTGGAGGCGTCCTCGAAATATTTAACCCAACGAAAAATAAAATCCTGTATGGATATCCCCTAGCAGAAACCTGAACAATACAAGTTGAATACCTTAGTTTTCCTGAGGTTGTCAGTGTAACAAACTGGGAAACTGGGTGCTGAAGACTATTAATATACATGTATATACATGCATATATATACAACATTACCTGACAAAGACTAAACCACCTGCAGCAAGGAAAATTACTACGCGAGTGGAACAAAGCCATGCTACAATCTCAGCCATTCAACCTTATCTCGTTTCATTTATATATATATATACAGTATCTATGAGGGGAGTGTAGTATCCAAGGTTGTATCCACACCAGAGTGGTTCCCACCCCTCCCCAACACACCCCCTTCCTGTCATCTCTCCCACCCCTCCCTCACACCACCACCACTCTCTCATCGCTAGCAACAACTTCGGCTAGCAACAAGCTTGACCAAGCTGGAAAATGGTCATCAATCCATATATATATATAATTAACAAACAATTTATATAAACACCCCAGGGTGTATGCGTAGGGGTCGATGATCGCTGGAGAAGTGATTAGATCTGCTGGTTCACTCCCAGTGGCATTCGTCCCAGCCTATCCTCTCTTCCCTATCCTATGTCTTCCCACTACACTACTCACCTCTGCTATGTACGACTAGCGATTCCTTCAAAAATGCCGTCTTTTAAATTTCCATCCAATTTTGTCATTTACACAAGGCAGCGCTAATGTTTCAAATACAACCTGCAAAAAGCCTTAAGAAAGCCTCGGGCTCACCTTGTGGAGGCCCAGGTAAGAGTAGACGAGATCACGCGAGAGAACAGCTGGTGCCTGGGCTGCCAGTAAGAGGGCAGAGGTAAGGAGAGGGACGAGATGTACCGAGGAAAGTCTAAGGGTGACACCCGCGCCGTTTCACTGGCTGGGACCTCCTGTTGGTGTGAGCTGGCGCGCCCCCTAGACACAAGGGCGCCTGCTGTGTTGGCACTTCTCCACCTTCCCACACCACTCTTTCTCCCCCCATCTATTCAACTTCACGTAGTTTCCCGTTATGGTTGCATCCAACAGCACGTGCACACATTATTTACCAAAGAATTAGACTAAAATCAAAGCCTCTACATCGAGATATCAACGAGACAATTAGGAGAAAAGACCAGATTTGGCAACTGTTGAGGAGTGATGTGCCAGGTGCTCGACAACTCTCGTGGATGGCAGACCATAAAGAAAACACATTTCGGAGGGAGATTTTGGCGGGTTCTTTTGAAATATACCACCCACAAAGAAAATAAATATTATGAGTGAAGCCTATACCGGTATCCCATAGTTTCACTAAAATTTCAACATATTTATAACATGGCTTCAAGGTTACCACACGAGGCTTGAACTTTTCTACCAGACTACTGTATCTTGGTATTATCTGGTTACTGTTGGGTAACATTTAGTTTGAAGAGGCATGGCATAACAATCCATTATATCATATGCTTAAACTCAGCATACAAGTTAATGCTTTGTGACTCAGCATTCAAGTTAAAGCTTTGAAACTCAGCATATTTATTTATTTATTTATTTATATACAAGAAGGTACATAGAAATGAAGTTGATTTTACATTCTTGTAAAGCCACTAGCACGCATAGCGTTTCGGGCAAATGAATAGGCTTTGTACCTTTGTAGGCTTTCGGGCAATAAATAGCATTTGTACCACACATGACTTGTGGCCATAGCACAATACATATTAGGCAGTGGGCTACATCAACTTCACACAATAATTATTGTAAACTGTATAAAACAGTATACATCACCATAACAAAATAATATTGTATACTATTTGATGCATCTATTTGATGGTATGGGGACCACTATATCACATATAAATGTATATTACTTCATCAGTACAGTGTATATATGGATATATGCTAGTGTGTGTGTGTGTGTACTCACTTAGTTGTGCTTGCAGGAGTTGAGCTTAGGCTCTTTGGTCCCACCTCTCAACTGCCAATCAACCGGTGTACAGATTACTGAGCATATTGGGTTCATTTGATCCTCTTTACATTTGAAACTGCAAATGGAGTCTGGTGTGTGTGTGTGTATGTGTGTGTATTTACTATTTGTGTCTGCAGAATCGAGCTATTAGCTCTTGGACCCCATCTTGCTAACCAATTTATTTTCCCTCTATTATTTATATATATATATATATATATATATATATATATATATATATATATATATATATATATATATATATATATATATATGTCGTACCTAGTAGCCAGAACGCACTTCTCAGCCTACTATGCAAGTCCCGATTTGCCTAATAAGCCAATTTTTCATGAATTAATTGTTTTTCGACTACCTAACCTACCTAACCTAACCTAACCTAACTTTTTCTGCTACCTAACCGAACCTAACCTATAAAGATTGGTTAGGTTAGGTTAGGTAGGGTTGGTTAGGTTCGATCATATATCTACGTTAATTATAACTCCATTAAAAAAAATTGACCTCATACATAATGAAATGGGTAGCTATATCATTTCATAAGAAAAAAATTTGAGAAAATATATTAATTCATGAAAACTTGGCTTATTAGGCAAATCAGGCATTGCATAGTAGGCTGAGAAGTGCGTTCTGGCTACTAGGTACGACATATATATATATATATATATATATATATATATATATATATATATACATACATACATACACACACACACACACTGTGTATAAAGAGAGAGAGACACACACAAAGGGGCCTCGTGGCTGAGTGGATAGCGCTCGGGGGTCGTAGTCCTAAAGGCTCGGGTTCGATTCCCGGACAAAGCAGAAACAAATGGGCAGTTTCTTTCACTAATGCCTCTGTTCACCTAGCAGTAAATAGGTACCCAGGAGTTAGACAGCTGCTATGGGCCGATTCCTGGGGATGTGTAGTATATGTAGTAGATATAATAGAGGGAAAAATAAATTGGTTAGAAAGGTGGGGTCCAAGAGCTAATAGCTCGATTCTGTAGACACAAATAGTATATAAATATACATATACAGTATATATAAATTTTACTTTATTAAAGTTCAAGTACTGGACCCTAATTATTGTGCATGGTATGCAATTTACATTTATTGTGTGTAAGCGACATATTTTAATTTGCCTAATTCCCATACTCTGAATCACTTAGATGAAATGCAAAAAAAAAAAAATATAAAAAATCTAGAGATAATTACTGTACAACCTTAGAGATTTTAGAGATAAGTACCTCCCGGATGGAGGGTCCCGGTATTACAGTCGGTTTCGTTCTAGACTCTCAAATGAGAATTCCTGGTGGGACAGAAATGGTTAGGTGCATTTCCTATCACCTAATGCCCCTGCCCACCTAGCAGTATATAGGTACCCCAGGAGTTAAGTCAGCTTGTTGCGAGGTTGAATCCTCGGGAGGGTCGGAAATTCGACCATGGGCGAGACCTCGATATAAGCCTAATGAACTGACTGCCTATCCCCTAACAATGGATTATAATTACAAGTCTTCAGTAAATGTACATTTAATTTTGTTATTATACCAACAATCAATAATCCCTCAAAATATAGAATAGGGGGAGCAGCACACTGCTGTGTACTTGCTCTTGTTAAGAAATGAAAGAGTGCATGACAAGGTAAGGTAATTATCAGAAGGCACTAAGCCAGTATGATTATGTGCACTATGTATAGTCGTACTGGCTTAGCACTTTTTCCTGTTAATTCCTTACCTTATCACACCCCTTTCATCTCTTAACAAGTGTAAGTACACAGCAGTGTGCTGCTACTCTATTCTATATTATAAAGGATTACAAATTATTGGTAAATAACACTTAAAGTAACATATACATTTACTGAACAATTGAATTATAGTGATGCATGGTATGGGAATAGTTTTGCCAATATTACCTTTGGCCAGGTCTGCATTGCCAAGCGGTTTAAACTTTAAAGATACTGTACTAGTACTTATAGCCGAGCTGTAGTTGAGCAGTAGTAACATTGAGGTTAATTATTATACTGAATGACCTGTTAATGTGGGCCTTCAGGCATGGTACTTTGATTTAAATTGAATAGATGTTAGATTTCACTTCGTCTCCAATTTGTTCCCAAATTGCTTGAGAAAAATAATGCACTATATAGTTCAACAAAACCATGTAGATCCGAGGCAAAGTGAAATTGACACTAACAATTCCATCGATCATCATACTGTACTGTACTATCTGGCAAGAACCACCACTCATCTATGGATCATCTAATTATTCTAATAGAATCAGCAGATTCCCAGACATTATTACTGCTTGGCTTATACTCAGTAATAAATATCTCTGAAAAATTTTGTTGCCTGCTGATGCAGACTTGACCAAATGTAAATTGTTAGCAAAATTCTTTGCAATATCCTTTGTCATTATGTGATGGAGGTCAAAGATACATGAATTTAGAGGCAGCTCTATAATAAATGCTCAAGAAATGTGTAAATATTTAATTACAAATTATCTAATACCTGGAATTTTAGGCAAATATCCAGTTTGCCAACTGTAGGTAGCAAATCTACATGACTGTAATCTTTCCACTGCCACCTACTGGAGGGAGGTGATGACGTGCATGATAAGCAAATAAAATTACAAAACTACCTCACCACATATGTAAGTTGCTTAGCTTACAGACTGTACTGTACTTGTGGTCGTTCTTGAACCCATTGTTGCTATAATAATGTACAATAAACTATAACTCACTTATGAAGACTAACTTGCTTAGCTAAATTACTTTTGGGGTTCAGTCCTTGAGCCCATTATGTGCCTCTATAACCATTTCCACTACAGCCCACAGGATGGGTATGGGGTGCATAATAAATGAACTATAAATCTCAGATCTATAGTTTTGTTTGGGGAAATATATTCATATTTATTGATAAACAAATGCTTCACATATAGGGTCAAAACTTAAAATATGTATAAAGAATTAACAGGTTGCATTGTGTGATTTGTGTCAAATGTGCTGGGTTTTTGTACTGCAAAAATGTTATAAATTCATTAATTCATCATATATATACCGGTAGGTCATTATTTATTAAACATAATACAGGAACTACAGCATTATATTTTTTTCTAAAACCCATAAATTTTAACAGGCAGGGATGCCCACCTGAAATAATAACATAACAGACACCAAACAGGAAAGGTTTGCTCAGCACTGAGTAGCGAGATGATACCAAAAACTGATAAATCGAACAAACCTTTCCTAGAAGAGCTCTTAGAACCAACTACAGATAAACTTGTTCTTTTTTGTTACAGTGTAGTATTTTTTCTCAAGTACAGTAGTGACCAAAACTGCAATTCTTAGATTAGTGTGTATTTTATTCAGTTTCTAAAGAAAAATATGATGCCATTTAATGTAATGTTTAAGATAATAAGATACAGTAATGCTTATTCAGGTAAAAGTACATACATTCAAAATGAGTTACAAATATAATGTGTTATTTCTAGATAGTACTAGTACATACTATGCCTAAAGCCACTAATACGCATAGCTTTTTGGGCAAAGCCACTAATACGCACAGCATTTTGAGCAATACTGCAACGGGCAATTTAATAAGTTTTGAAAATCATCAGACCACATAGTGAAATCTATTAATATTTTAAATTTGGACAAACACACTAAACAGCAATAATTATAAAATTACTGGAGAAAGACCACTGTAATGAAGCTAAATACTACTTTATGTTGTAAACAGATGGAACAGCTTACCAGGAGTTATAAGTAGTGAAGTAAAAACTTTTAAATCTATATTAAACAGGTAATTCTCCTTAAATCCCCATCTCTCCATGTTTATAATCCCATAAGCTTTCTATATACAGTATATGGCCTGGACAAAAACTAAGATTCTAAAATATAGTCTGTCATCTTTTACACAATCTATAGTCTGTTGTTTTACACATTTATATTGCAACAGCCCTTAAATTCAACAATCCTTAAATAAAGCACAGTTTTCAGCAATCTTCAAAGAGTGCAGCATTTCCTTGAGTCCAATAGTGTCTAATAAAATATTAAATTCATCATTACCCTAGAAGGATTTTTGACCCAAGTTTAGTACACCAGCACTGACAGGAGCTGTGCAAACTATCAAGTATGCAGCAAGATTTTTCACCAAATCATTATTCTTCAAGGGGTTCTGAATTTTGCGTTTACTTTGGTTTGGTTGCAAGGATCAACATTTCGTTTTCTTGATTCTCTGACCAGCCTCCTGGTTGGTCGGTCAACCAGGCTGTTAAGACACAACTGCTCGCTGCCTGACATATGAATCACAGGCAGTTAAGGTATTCTTTGGAGGTATGTATCAACTTCTCTTATAAATACAGCGAGATCCACTCGATAATTCTCAGACGAGCTGCATGAAGTGTACCTGATCTTGCATTCACGCTTTTTAGGAAACTTAATTGCTGATAGCCTCAGATTAATTATAATCTTTCATAACGGACTTCTTCAGCACAATATTATTGTGGTTGCAATACTGTACATTTAAAAAAATGTATTTACATGCGAAACCGATTTATGCAATGACTTAAAAGTTTATTCAATATTAATACTAGTGTTGGCTGTTATTTGCTTCCTATTTTCCTGTTCTTATACAAATATGACAGAAAGTAGCTACGATACATGTTGGAAGTGGGTTCATGTGAAAGTAGAATATAAGAAACACTCACGGGACACGTAGTATGCGCGCCATCCTCCTGCTGTTTGAACACCTTCTTCCTCACTTTGTTTTGAACAAACCACTTGGTTCTTTGCCCAGCATCTCACCGCTCATCATAAATTACATTCACATCACATATACAATTATAATTAATTTTATATTCTATATTTATTATTCTGTATACTAATAATGCATTATATATGTCAATTGCAGAGAGAAGAGGAGGAGGAGGATTGATGAGAGCATCAGTCGTCGTCTGTATGTTCCAGGGTGCGGCGGCTCGCGGCTCTCTACCTCGCCACTACTCACACATGTGCTAACCTCAGCCATGAGAACTGCTCTAAACCGCACCAACGCTGTCTTCCGTAGATAGTTGATTTCTATTTATTACAAGTGTGCGCAGAGGAGAGAATGAGTGTATCTAAGAACGGGAGGAATCCCCTAGCGGGAGTGAGGCTGGAACACCTGGTGGCTGGGGTGGCGGGCGGCGTCGCCTCCACTCTCATACTTCATCCTCTAGATCTACTCAAGATCAGGTTTGCCGGTGAGTAATAACGTCTTGGAGTACCTTGGTTACTGTTAAGGCTTGGTATATTGTCAGCGGAGGCGTCCCATGTTCTCAGCGGATTCCTTTTATTACATTGCGCTCTGCACTCCAGAAATTTCTTGGAATTTCTTTAAAAAAAATTCCAATCTTAAAATTGCAACATACTAAAAACTAAACATACTAAAAATTGCAACTACTAAAATAATTTTTAATCTCGGATTGTTTAGTACCAAATGCTGCTCCTATGCCTGTAAGTTATCCAATATTAGAACAGGCGTTATTGTTTAGCGTTACTTTCAGTTATACTCTAGTCTATGGGCATATTTTGTGTAAATGGCAAGTGTCTGGCAATACTGTAGTTATAATGTTTTTTGATCAAGGGTCTTTGTAAAATGTTAGGGTTCTGGTGCTCCTAAGTGCTAGCATAATGCATACATCTGCTGCTTAACTGGACTTCAGTGTATATTTTCAGTAACAATCAGCCTTCAGTTATCCAATTTGTATCCATTATATCATGTTCAGTTTGGTGCAATTTTTAGTACCCTGTTAATATCAGCCATGTACCCTTTTGTAAGATTTTATACGGTATCATTCTACATTGTAAAGTGGCTGTATCATTCTACATTGTAAAGTGGCTGTATCGTTCTACAATGTTAAGTTGCCTTTAACCCTTTTGCTGTATCCAAAAGTGTTAATTTGGTTCAGGGATGAGAATATTTACCTGTCCATTTGACTAGAAAGTTTCTAAAGCTTTTAATAGTAAACCCAATGCCTGGCCTTGAAAACAGGGCTTTGGCAAAATCAGTCTGTTGGCAACAAAATGGAATAGTTTTGAGGTCTGTGTTCATCCTCAAGGCACTTGCCCTTTGAATATTACTTCTATTATACAGCAAGCAACAGCCTGTTGGATGCGTTTATAAAAAGTCAAGCTTGGCCTCAGGCTGGGCTCGGGAACTCCCAGAACCCTCTCTAGGTTTTCACACACATAATTGGCTAGGAAAATAGCATTAAGAAAATCTAATCAATTTTCTGTGACTTGTTTGTGATTCTAGTTATTTTCCTATGATTGGTAATTTACTGTGACCATAATTTAGCCACTGCAAGCCCATCAGGGAGCCAGGCATGACTGGTGATAATTGGTTAGGTCTATCCACAAATAATGTATTGTGGGAATACTCTGGATACAAATTTCATCAGGCTTAATGGAATATGTTGATCATTACAACTTTTGTTTTTCTGGCTTAAAGTATTTGATAAAAGGTATCCAGAAGTTTGATTGAACATTTTTTTAATTAAATGCCTCCAGATTTAGCTGCACTGTTTATTTTATAGAGGAAATGTTGCCATGTATAAATATTTATTAACCAAGCACACATGGACCTACACAATGTCAGTATGTTAATTAATTAATTAATTAATTGTCCGTCAGTAGCATCAAAGCGTTGACAAAGAATGCTGGGTAGACTGGACACCACGAGCGTAGCTCTCATCCTGTAACTACACTTAGGTAATTACTTAGGTAATTACAATGGCAACTTTTGTTTGGGACCAGATATCCTTTGTCTGGCAACACCCTGCTAATCTATTCCAATTACATACACAGGAGTTTTTGAATGTTAATACTGTACCTCAAAAGTTTATTTCCATGGAATTTTTAAAGTTGGTCAAATCTTGGTTAAAAAAAATTGAGAAATGGAGCTATAATTTGGGACCCCCGATCTTGCACAAATATTTTGTTAAGTGGTCCAGAAATGCGTGTTATCCCTTGGGTACTAGTTTTCCTCAAGGATTAGTAGAACTGAAAATATTAGTAATTACTGTACTAAAAAGGCTTAGTAGGTTTTTTTTTGTTATGATGCTCTTTCTCAGCCATCAAGTGGTATTAGTTATATAAATTGACTGATAAGCAATGATTAGATACTAGAGAACACAAATGCCTGTTTTATAGCATTAAAGGAGTCCATGTGTGTGGATGTACTTTTTATTGGCAATTCAGTGTTTTGTAAATAGTTGGTGTACACAGATTTTTGCTTTTTTTACTTTTATTCTTTTTTTTTTGTTTACTGGTGACTTTCTTTATTGTATGAATAATGAATTATTTTTTGTGTAGTGAGTGATGGAACAACGTCTGCTAAGCCTCACTACACAGGGCTTACACAGGCCATGTGTCAGATCTTCAGGCATGAGGGCATCAGAGGGCTCTACCGTGGCGTAACGCCTAACGTTTGGGGTGCAGGCTCAGCTTGGGGACTCTACTTCCTTTTGTAAGTACTATACAAATTTTTGTAGATTTACTGTATGCAAGAATGATGTTTTCTTTCTTCTGTCTTACATTACCCTTGGTTAAAAAATAAAGGGGGTGGGGGGAGGGGGGTTACAAAAAATGTACACTGTAGTTGCTTGTGAATCGGTGATCTTGTTTGCAATCCATCCTACACACTAATGGCCCAGAGTAATTCCATGCAGTATTAATTTTCTTGTTTAGGAATTGAATGTACTGTAATTTACACATGACTTGCAACCAGTAATTGAGCTTTTGTCTAAGAACGTCCCAAACTTCAATGTTTGAAGTTTGTTGCTCAATGTGACTCACTCCCCAAGAACTCTTAAATGACAAGCGAATGAGTTAATATACTGTACAGTACTTTAGTGTAGATTGTGGAACTGTTACTATCATGATAGGTATTTTGTTGTAGCTATGTGGCTATCAATTTTATTTATAAGCTTCATGAGTTACACATTAGTGTTATCAGTATAGTAATAGTCCTACAAAATATTTTTGGTACACGCGAGTTGTTGCTAGCACGTTGGCTTTTGCTCTGTATGGTGAATGTGTGTGTGCAAGAAAAGTGTTAGTCAGTATAACTAATAGCATGCTAGTTTGTCAGTATAACAATAGCATGATTGGCAGTAAAATTTATAATTTGATAAGGTTACTTCTTGAAAAATTTCTTGCACTTTTTCATAAGTTTGGTTCTAGATTGGCTCTGCCATATTGATTCCAATGTAGGATTTATCGATTTCATTACTGTAGTTTAAATAAACATTCACACTTTACATTTTCTGCATGGGATGAAGGTGGGTAATAGCTCCCCCACAGCCTTTTAGAATACTACCTTTGTTGATTATTGCTCACCCTGATGACCCGGAGAGTAGTTGAATGTTGCCTTTGAGGCCCCCACTTTTGGAAAAGACATCAGTGATGTATCTTTTAAGTGTCCTGCAAGAGTGCCCTGTCGCTCAGAACAGCGACAGCCATTCCTTTACTCAATCCTTGTATCCCAGCTCCTCGTCCTTAAATCCATTTAAAGTGCAGTCTAATCACACTGGCTTAATGCTTTTCAATAATTACCCTAAACACCATTACCATAGCTTTCTTTGCTAAGAAAATGTTAGAATCCCAGATTTTTTAAGTACGTACAATTTAATAAACAAAATTAAATAGTTTTGGGGAGCTTGATCAAGGACAAAAAGCTTTTATTTTTGTCCAAAGCCTAAATATTCATTTAGGCTACAGGTACTAAGATCTGTAAATTTATTATAAATGGATGACTGGAAAAAGTAAATATTTAATTGGTCAGAAGAAATGAATACAGTATATAGAAATAAATGTGTAAAGGCTATGTTAATGAATTTGTGTAATGGGTTAGATACGCTTAACAGGAAATAAGAAATGGAAGAATAATTCAGTGATTAGGCATGTTGCAGTGAACCTTAACCCTCCCTGGCCCACATCTTCACATCTGAGGGAGATGTGAATCGACCACTATGGCTTAGCGAAGTCGCACTAAATAAAACACAAATCTATGTACAATTTAGATAAGTTTAGATTAAAAGAAGACTTGAGGAAATTATGGCTCAGAAACAGAGTTGTTGATTTATGGAACAGATCCCATGTATATAGGTAACACAATACTGTATACACGGGATCATTTAATTGTTTATAGTGTAGGTTAAGTAGGTTAGTGCTTGCATGCAAGTGGAATTGCTTTACCAAGATCCACCCAATGATTTACAAGTCACCATCCGGTTATGGTTGTAAAATCTTAGCATTTGTATCTTGGAAAATTCACTTGCATTTATTATTTACCAGATGTATATTGCTAAAAGGAAACTTGTTTTGCACCTAGCTGCCATGCCACACATCTTCTGACATATCACAAATCTAAAGGAAAGTCGAACATATTAAATTTAATAGGGAAATTTTGAAAATATGGTTTTCTTATGAATATTTATGGTTCTATTGCCCACACCCACCTTTCTAGTGTTGTCTGGTTTTGATGATGATGTTCAGTGACTAATTGGTGCTCTCTAAAACATGAGTGTTTGAGAAAAATGTACAATTACTTGAAAGTAGCTGTGTGTGGTGAGCAACAATTTGAAGAGGCAGTGAAAAGTTTACAGTGTAAATTCTGCAGGAAAGTGCCATGACTCAGGTGCCAGAAGGCATGCTGGCAAATATGCTAAGATCCTGCAGCTGTCACTTTGCAAACATCACCAGCTGCTGTCACTTGTTCCTGTTCCTCTCTGGCGAGCCTTCAGATTCATTATGTAATGTACAAACTTTAAAGTAGACATCATTTCAGTTGTTAGCAGTATTTAGTTGGATATTTTCAAAATAGTTTGAAATGTGTCCTTGCACGCTACGGGGCATTTGCGAAGCGGATGTTTACTGGGGGCCGACGAAGGTTTGGTTTGGGTCGTCTGGCGACACACACAGTTTACCCTGTTAGCTTTTATTTTCCAAAACAACTTTGTACCTTCGCCTCTCTTTAGCTTGTTTGTGTTTAATATTGTTTCATGTCATATTTTGTGTTATTTTGCATTTTCAATCTGCCGTTGGATTTCATTTTGCATTGAATGGATTTTTGCAGTTTTAGCCGACTTTAGGTTTTAAATTCAGCTTACGTGGTAATAATGGTTATATTTATTCACCATTTAGTCTATAAATTGTACGTAACAAGTTTGAAACATTGACGACACTTTAATACACGCTGATTGGCTTAATAGCCTCCTGGCTATTAAGAATATAATAGAATTGCAAATCATTCTCCCCGTTCTTCTGGGAATAAACTCTGTTTACACTGCACCAGTGTCTTAACTGTTATGGTGCAGGAGGAATTTATCATTGATGTACAGTATGTGTGCATTAACGCCATGTTTGCGTAGGTAACTTGTATGGTGAAAATATCTGTAATGGTTAAAAGACCCATGTGGTGAGCATGCTACTTTTTTATTTGGCCTTTTTCATTGTGCCTCTAGTATATTATTCATTTCTATTTCTTCTTGGTTGCAACGCATTCCTTTCCCCCTTTAGATTTATCCTCAGTCACTGGTTCAGAAATAAGGTTATAAATGCGTATAACAAACAAGTTAGAGTATTAGTATCATAAAAGCAAACTCGTTGAATAATTTAAAATATAACAAGTTGGAAGTAAATTGATGCTACCCCCCGTAGGCCAATATGTCTCCTGAAGGTTTATTTAAGGTAGATTTCCATGACGCCACAACGTTGTGTTGCAAGAGGTCACTTGTTTAAGAACTTTATGTCGGCAGTGGTTAAATTGCGTGCCATTTGCGCGATCAGTGTTTGTGTACTATGATAAGTGAACATTGTCTGGTTAGCTGTGGATGGTTTAGCGGTGTTGACTAGCTGCACGCTGGTTAGGTTAGGATGTCAAGTGTGGTGTGGTGTGTCTGTCCAAGGTTATTGGCACATTCACCAAGCCGGAGTGTTCTCTTCCCTCCCCTCACCACTCTTAGTTACTGCAGATTACTATTGAACGTTAGTGTAAGGTGTCAGTACCTTGATCACGCTATAACAATTATGAGTATGTGATGTGAACGTCAACACTAATAGCAGTACATTGCATAGCATAGTTTTAAATAAATACAAATATTAAAAGTTGGTGGTACTGGCTGGCAATGCGCAGGTTAAAAAAAAAAAACTCGTTGCACGCCGTAGAAGCAGTGCGCAGATTGGACGCACACGTCCACACCCCCGTCGACAGCCAATCCGGAGGCAGGGAGTCTCTTGACGTCATATACTTTCCCGAAACTTGCATCATAAGACAGCAGGAAGCCGTCTAGTTTGTCTAGATTCCCGCAGCTCTAATAAACGAAGGAAAATTTGTACACCCGACCGACAAATCTGAAAATATAAGAATTGACGTTTTGGTCCATCCTGAATTATGTATTCATTATCAAGTCGTGTAAGGAAAAAATGTAAGTTCCAAGAAGCTGCCTTTGGGAAAACATTTTTTTTTGTATAAAACTATCTGGTCCATCTTTTTTTCGTGTTTTCATTTTCTTCACCAATGTGATCAGAATCTTCGCTCAATATCATCTTGTGACGTGTTGAGTAACATTTTGCACTATTAAATAATTGTTCAGTTGACGGGGAACGCGCACTTGAACTTTCCTAGAGATGTATACTTTATCTCGTTTGGTCCAGTATTGCAATAATGATTTTATTTATAACAAACAGTAAGGACTATATGAAGAATCACAGGTGTGTAATTATATATATATATATATATATATATATATATATATATATATATATATATATATATATATATATATATATATATATATGTCGTACCTAGTAGCCAGAACGCACTTCTCAGCCTACTATGCAAGGCCCGATTTGCCTAATAAGCCAAGTTTTCATGAATTAATGTTTATTCGACGACCTAACCTAACCTAACTTTGTTGGCTACCTAACCTAACCTAACGTATAAAGATAGGTTAGGTTAGGTTAGGTTAGGTAGGGTTGGTTAGGTTCGGTCATATATCTACGTTAATTTTATCTCCAATAAAAAAAGGTGACCTCATACATAATGAAATGGGTAGCTTTATCATTTCATAAGAAAAAAATTCTAGAAAATATATTAATTCAGGAAAACTTGGCTTATTAGGCAAATCGGGCCTTGCATAGTAGGCTGAGAAGTGCGTTCTGGCTACTAGGTACGACATATATATATATATATATATATATATATATATATAATGTGTGTGAATCACGAAAATTAACACGTGATGAAAAATGTGACAGTATCAAACCACAAAAGAAGAATTGAAACAGGAATTTCCTTAAGTACTTTCGTATTTAATAATTCATCTTCAGAAGGATGTATTCATCCTTCTGAAGATGTATTATTAAATACGAAAGTACTTAATGAAATTTGTTTAAATTCTTCCTTCCTGGTCTGATACTGTCACATTTTTCATCACGTGTTATATATATCAATGTATAATGGTC